CCCCTCTCTCTCCCTCCCTCCCTCTCTCCCCCCTCTTTCTATGTATATGTATATATAATATCTGGTTCCCATTAGTGCAGATAATCGACATCCCCCTATACTTAACGTTTTTCACTTAAATATGCAAAGGAAGTGCAGTGATTGGGGTTAGTGTGAAGCAGCATTGCGCAAAATGTAGACCACACCACAGAGGCTAGCCATCTAATAGATGATTGTAGTAAAGTGCTGAGTCAATGCTGGGTAACCTTCATTGAGAAGGCCACTCCTTATAACTTGCTTTTGTATGCCTCTTGGGGAGGTAAAGCATATTGCTTTTTGTTATTAGCATGTAGGGGTTGCCCCAACTGTAATGCCATTTAATTGGTTAACTCCATTACATGAAGTCAGCAGTGCACCCTCTTGGAGCCTCAGACGCCCCCTCCCTCCCCAAAAGCCAATGCCTGATTTGAAAAAATGTATTTTTACAGATTTTCTGTACTAAAAAAAGTTATTCAATATATAAATTGTTAATGTTATAAATGTGAACTCTAATTCAACAAATTAAAAAACATTTTATATTCAGCACAAAGGAAAAATTATTTATAAGTGAACACAAAGTCAGCAGATTATGGTACATGTAGTTCCCCCCCCCCCCCCCCCTGAGAAGTCCAGGATGCTCCTCTACATGAAGTGTGTGTTTGTGGTGTTTTTTTTTTTTTTTTAAATAAACTAATGAATTATGAACTCTTATCAAGTTTTAGTCTTTTTTACAAAGTTGTTTGAGGTACACTAGTGCAAAAATGTCCAAAAGTGCTTTTTATAGAGGTTTGCACAACTCGTCGATTCATAATACAGAAGTAAACATGATGAAATTTGACCAATTGTCAGTGTTAATTTTCGTGTATAAGACTTGATTTTTGTACCTTGTTTTGAGCCATAATGGGTAAAATTGTCACTATCATAATCTTGCATCTTTTCAGCGGATAATGGTTTCAATCCTTTCTGGATGCAGTTTTGTGAATTTGAAGTTGCAAATCCTCATTTTGCACTTCTGAGATTTGTAGTGCAAGATGAAGACATGTTTGCAGAATCAAATTTCATTGGTCAAGCTACTTATCCAGTGAGTTTTCCTTTATTCTCTTTTTGTTGTATAATCCTAAAAAAATTATTTTAAAACTTTGTAAAAACACATGCAGTTTAATTGTGTGTTGTTCATTCATCTTTATGTACCAAATGATTTCAGAGAACTAACAAAAATAATATTTTCAAAATACCTAGTCCGTGTTAATCATACTTGATTTGTGTTTGCCATTAACAGTTTTTTTTTATAATGGAATTTTATATTTTCATTTTTTAGGTCCTGTGTCTACGAACAGGTTATCGCAGTGTTCCTTTGAAAAATGGCTTTAGTGAAGATATGAAATTGGCTTCTTTATTGGTTTATATAACAATCAAGAAGGCAACGGTAGGTATTGTATGGTATCTTATTGGCACAAACAAGATTCTTGTTTCTGTTAGTGTCATTTATAGTGTCATTTATAGTGTTTTGTTTGTTTTTTATTATGATGGATTATAGTTAATGTTATTTTTGCATACAAGGTGTTTTGTTTCTTTATTGATATGTCAATGACTGTTTGTTTGAAAAATATAATTAACATATTGTGTCTCGTTTTCAAACATTTTTTGCTACACAATATCTTCTATACATATTCTTGTTAAAATAGCGCTTTCCAAGACCAGGAGGGATTTAAATGGTAAGTTCTGAGCTTAAATATAGTTCTAGAATAGTAAGAAGAAGAGTTTTCATTCATTGTGGATACCAAACATTGTCTTTATATATCTTGCTTGATATGAATTCAAATTTCTTTTTGTTTATTTGAGCTAGAATTAAAGTAAATTTGCAATTGAAATGTTTAAATTTTCAGAATTGAAATATCTTACTGGGATATACTTGATCGATGAATATTAATCAAATTAATGATTGTGTTATCTCAACTGTTACTTGAAGTAATCAGGTTACATGCATGTGTCCATCTATGTTTGTGTCCATCAGTTAGACCACTTCTGTTTTACCATTGGGGCAAATGTGACGTCTCCTGCCATGGGAGTGCTGTTATTAAGCGTAATTCACATAGTACAGGTTATCTTGTTCAATGATTTGAGTGACCGGAAGGGTAAGGGGTTAAAGATTGAAGAAGAAATACAATCGTTAAGTAATTGTGAATCAAAGTATGAGTTAATCACTTATGCTCTCTGTCACCATGTAACTACGAAAGACATAGGAGTGAGAAGGAGAGAGAGCACAATGCAAGTAATGACGAGGGTGTTGAGTGCATTTATAACGGCGTTAGCTGCTTACCATCGCGTGCAACACACCAATAGGCTTCTCTATGGTTGATGACATGTTCACCTGCTGGGCTTTGTCTGTCTTCTTGCTGCTGCTGCTTCGTATGAGCTGGCACTTTTGTGGTGTTTTTTCTCGGGGCTTAGATATCAGTGCCTTTGGGTGGGACGTTTATATACGATCCCGCTGATTGTGGACATCTTTCTGAATGCGTTGTTTTAGAAAGGCCGATTTTCCAAATAGTAATTTATATTATTTATCATGGTGATGAAATGACTTAATAATTATTAATATTGTTTATCTTGGCTTATCATACAAATGAAGTGTAATTTGATGCATCTCAGCCTACTGGTGAGGAAACGACCTTTTTTAACTGAATCTTTCCCAAACATTCTGAGAGATTTTTTGAAGAAGTTGTGGGGGAGGGATTAGTCCCTAAAATCCATTTTTGAGTTTTATGATACCTCGAGAGGTGATCAATAGCTCATTGAATTCTTCTCAGCTAGACAAATCCATTTAGAATGTTCAGGAAGAATTCTAGGAATTATTTTTTTGTTGGACGTTTCATGACACCCAACAGAGGGGAAATGCTGCAAATTATTATAGTGCCTTTTTGACAAAATATTAATTTTTATTTCTTGATTCATGAAATTGGCAATTATTATACCTATTTTTTATTAGGTGTAATAATTGCTAATGTTTTAGAAGTTTACTATTTCTTCTTTTTCTTTCTTTCTTTTTTTCTTCCTTTTTTCTGAATATATAACATATTTGTCATTTATTGGATTCTAACTTCCATTTATTACAGTCTTCCCAGTCATTTTCTTGCAGAGTTCTTTCCGCTGTCGCTTCAGATACTATAATCTTCTAATGCCTTCTCGATCTCCCTCAGCATTCGATCATTTTTTGGGCCATCTTGCGTCATCTATTTGATGCATGCTCAATTCATCGTAGGCATTTTGCCTCTACTGAGTCTAAAATTATAGTCTCTATGTTCAGTTTTGCTAACACATCTTCATTTTGTATTCTGTCTTTGCCAGTAACCCATTTTGGCTCTGTTGTTCCCCACACTTGTGCTCCAAAAGTGACAATGTTCTCTTCAATAGACTTATTTATCTTAATCTTTGTGCAGGGTTTAATGTGTATGTTCTATAATGTATTGTGTAGCTGTTTTGTAACTATTTCCCTTTTCTAATTTTTTCAGTAATTTCAGCTTCACGTATACCATTTTTGATCAAGATTACCTCAGGGTACTTGAAGCTATTAACTCCTTTAATAATTGCAGCTTGTAACAACAAACTTCTGTTTATATTGTCAGCTACAATATATTCACTTTTGTAGGTTAAGAAAAGGAAAATTACAATAGAAATATTGATACTTTTTCAATGAACTTTGTATGCCTGAGGATGGACAGGGAACCCTATTGTGTTCAAATAGTATTATTTCTTTTATGATTTGAAGTAGGACAAAAAAAGAAAAAGAAAATACACAAAGCTAGTACAGGGTAAAATATACATTTTTACATCTCTTCAGTAGCAATTATGTAAATTAAAGTAGTAAATGAAGCTGTCCAAGTTTTCTTAACATTTCTTTTATATTGTAAATGTTGCTGAGCATATTTACTTTTGTTCCATTGTGAGTAGACCAGTGCAAGAGTGGGAAGGCATTTGTTGTCACTTAAGATGCAATTTAACCTTTCAACAACTTTTCTCTTGTAGTAATTAAAACAAACAGTTGTGAAATAATGGCCAACTAATAACTGCTGGCCAATGATTGTGCACTAAAACATTATTGTTTTATATAATACAATAATTGTACACTTACTAATTTTTTGTTTTACCAGGAAACTGTCAATGGACCTAAAACTCCTGTTTCTCCGCAAGCATCTTTGAGCACGCCAGCTCCTGACAATTCTTTGTAGTGTCACATATCAGAACTGAGCATTGCTAAACAGTTATCAGCTCTGCGGGTTGCAGCCTTGATTTATCTTCGGTTCTGTCATTTAACAGAGCTGGGCAACAGTCTCCCTAGATGACAGAGTGGAAGATTTTGTGAAACAAGGGTCAGGGCAGCTGCTTTGTGCCAAATTTGTTTTATAGAACTTATGTTTTAAGTATAACTGCACTTTTATGTGCATTTTGTAGTCTTTTCAGTTCTATTTGCACATCTGGAATTATGAAGGTGGTGTAATGTGGTATTTTTCTCCGAAATTATTTTATCTGTCAGTTTTGTTTTGTTGAATTTTTCTGAAGTGTTAATTCTGAAATAATTAGTTAAATTTGATAAAACAACAAAAAGAAAGAACGTTTGTAACATATCAGCCTTAAGGGCTATTTAAATGATAAAAATGGTCGATTCTGTTGCATGCATTGGTGGTTTAACCATCTGGTTGTTAACTTAGATTTAATCATGTGTTCTCTGATTAGTGCAGTGTTTTACCGACTAGTTCTGTCTGAGTATTCGTATCATTTTAAGGTTGCATATTTCATAGGAAAAACCATACATAAATATTGAAAGTATAATTGCGGGAACATTGTGAATTTGAATGGGCTTTTAAAATAGTTCATTGGATGCAAAAATAAAAAAAAAAGAAAGAAAGTAAAAATATTAATGACAAGTAGATATAGTCTTCTCAAGATCAAGAAAATTGCCCTTAAAGGTTGACGATACTTTTCACTTACCTGATGCTTTTTTCTTGTTATTTTTTAAAAATATTTTCTCCACATTTGTTTCAAAAATGAAATGTTTTTTTCAATTGAAGAACTGAGTTCAGCGGTTATAGGGCTTGCTATGTTAAGAGGTCAATGGTTTCTAGCTCTATGAGCAAGGTTTTAGATATGAGAATTTTTACTGTCTGCTATTCAGTGAGCATAGATAAGGAGTTGCTGTTTTTTTAAATCTAGACAAGGGATTAAATTATGGTACCATAAACCTCTCAACTGCTTTGGGCATGTTAAACATACAAGAGAACAACTATAATAATATTTTCCAGTAGAGATGCATTATTGAAAATAATTGGTTTCTTTCTTAATTATTGCTGCCACATTGTTTCCTATGAAATAAATATTTGGAATAGAGAATGATGTTTCAGGTCATTAATTAATTTAATTATCAAGCAAGCAATTGAAGCGATTGTTTTACATTTCTGTTTGTTTGTGTGTAAGGGTTAGTGATTGATCTGCCACTGAGTAGCACAGGGGAAATCAAAATTAAGATGGGAATCTTCAAAGAAAGATGGGGAGAGTACTGTTCATATCACTTTTTATTTTTAATCAGTCGTGTACTAAGTATTATCATGATTAGTATTTTAGAAAGCCTTTGTTTCTTAGTTCTGGGAAAATTTACAGATGTACATGTGTAGGTAGGTTTATGTGTGAGGAAAATGATAAACAATGTAGTTACCTTTATTAAAATGAAGTAATATCAATATATAAGGTTAGAATTGATAAGTAAAATTTTATTTTAAGAAAATGAAAGAAGAAAATTTGATTGTGTAGGTAATTTATAAAGGAAGAACCATGTCATGCCTTTCTAAATAAGCCTTTCCACACTCTATTGTGGTGCTTTGTCCGGGATTTGTTCTCAAATCGAATTACAAAAGACAGTCATAATGAAGATATTTATTTTGTTAAAAATATGTATTATAAAGTGTTAACAGTTAAAAATAATTTTTAAGGAAGTGCAATGTTAAAATCAAGAGTGCAGAGCGTTCTGAAGGACTCCAGTTCTCCGCTATGGTTCATGTGTTTTATGCTATGAGTTTGTGCATAGAATTGTGGATTCGTAATTTGTGTGTTCAAGAGGAATTAAGCTCACCTGAATCATGTAAACCTTTTTTGTGAACAATTGTGAACTCAAGTATTTAAAATGAATGGAATCCATGTCTATTTGTAACCTTGTCGTGTAATATGGATTAAATTCACATTAAGGGGGCTATGTACAACAGCATGTAAGACTGAAACAGACTTGGGCTAGTCAGCAAGCCTTCATAGTATGTTTGTTCACCTCCTTTGCTCATGTTGCCATGGGAAGGATGAAAATTCTCTGAACAGTAGCACATCCTGAAGGTCTGTTAAAATGTGCTGGTAGCTATATAAGTCCTTAATGAGAGGTATTTTTTTATCAGCTGCAAATGGCAGTGTGAATAGCATAATCATTCTTTAGAATAAATGAAAATATGTAGTCCACAGGTTCAGTGCAAAATGTCTTCTGCACAAAAATGGTTGAGACTTCATTTTCTTTTTCAAATGTTTGGTTGACTACCATAAGACTCAGTCTTTCCATTTTGACCTCAACTTCAAATATGTTTTGACTGAGATTATTATTAGTCTGAGCTAATTAGCTATTACAATTTTTTTTTCAGAATGTGATGTTTTCATAAGCCATTAATTTCCTGGTTTAGTATCAAGCATGAATTTTGGTAATGTCAATTTGTGTTAGGGTACTTCAAAATACTATTATTAGGCAAACAAAGTCCTTTATTTACGAAAATAATGCAAATTAAAACTGATTTTAAAATGTTTTTTGTTCATTTTTAAGTCTGTCTTTCTTCAGAACTGTTTAATGTGAAATGTATTAGTGAATTTGAGTTCAATTGTAGAAGAACATTGTTGAAATCCTTTGAAAGTTTCCTCCCTTTTTCTGGACAATCAATTTGATTAAGATTCAAATTTGTAACTCTGCTCTAGAATGTCTTGATTGTAGTAATGACTGATGTCATGATTTACTTTTGCCTTCCATGTTGCACTCACTTGAAGATCTCACTTAAGACCTGTTCTTTGAATCTGGTATTCTGGAATAGACATTTAGAACCAAGTGTGATAAAAAATTGTTAGAAAAGAGTGTATTTTTTTAATTTAGTATGATGACACTCTTGACAGTGGAAAAAATACAGATTTTACTATTAAAATACAGACAAAACTATGCAGATGTGAAATTAGAAAAGTTTACAAATAAATTAATTATCAAAAGCACAAGCTACAAAAACATGAACAATGTAAGTTCTCCCTGTCTTGATGTTTGCCAGTTTGTATACCATTAAAGACAAAGTGATTTTTAATTATTTATCGTCCTAAAATCTTAAAGTAAAATTCATGCCTAGGGACAACTAAAATGGTATTAAGGTTTGTCACATAGAAGGAGAAGAAGAATTGAGATATAATAGTCAAATGAGAATGGTATATATTTGGTGTCTTGAATATTGAACTGTTCTTTATTGCCACTGTTTTTCTGTTTCAATTGAGTTCAAAAAATGTACTTGTGTTTTGTTCCTAATACTTTTGCATCTAAAAAGCTCTAAAAATATTTTGAACATCTACCAAATATATTTCTTTTAAACAATATTTGTGTCAAATGTGTTAATTCTTTTCATGAAGCTTACATGTTTTTATTGCAATAGTTATTTACACAAAGTCTCTCTTAAATGACGTGTACCCTTTGTTCAGGTGCTCTGATATAAATTAATTTATGGAAATGAGTTTATATTCCGGTATTATATTATTTATTTATAAAATTGCAAGTGTATTACAAAACATAAAAATATGTGCATTAACAATAGATTTTTGTTAAAATCAAATGCATTTTATAAAAGGAGAAAAGTAGAGCTACAACCATTGTGTCACCTATTATTTGTCTTTAATTTTGAACTTTTCTCTGTTATTCAGACTTTTCTGAGTGCTCTCTTATAACTTAACTGGCCTGTGGACAGTATTTTTGTAAGCCTTTGTGATGTGGCCTGTGTGTAGGCTGAAGTTCAGTCATTGCTGGCTTTTCTAGTCTCTTTCTTCCACCTCTGTTCTGCAGTCATTTCCAGAACAATAGAATCTCCATGTTGTATGGAAGACAGTTCTTCCAGTGACTGTTTGTTTTTGTGCCGATGTTGCCTTACTGGGTTTTCTTCCTTTGCATGTATGTGTACAAATGAATGAATGTTAAATACTGCTGTTGTGTAAGGAAATTCTATGAAAGTTCTTCTCTTCTTGACAGTCACTCCAGTGGAATCATTTACACAAAATTTGTTTGATAAGAAAAGGTGAATGGATATATTAGAGAGAAAGGGCCAAATAGTTTGTGCTGTGGATGCAACCTTGTTCTTCAGTATTGGATTGTTCTCTTGAACTTCAATGTTTTGTATGAAGTCGAACAAAGGTTCTGGAGAATTCCATATGTACAACTACCCAAAATACAATAAATGAAACATTGTTCTATGATCATAAAGATATATATTGTTGTAGAGATTTTAGCATTTGTATAGTTATTGGAATTGTTTACCAGTGGCCTTGCATTTTTATTGCATTTAATGCATGTACGGAATGAATGTAAGTTATATATTATCATGTATGTTGGTGTTTGTTTCTTGTTCAAAAAGGGAAATTTAAACATTTGTTAAATTTATTGGCCACAGATTAGGAAGTATGTCTTAAAATTTTACGTTATATGTATGCTTGATGATGGTGATGAAATTTTTGGTCTAAATATACCAAGATAATATTGTGAGAAATATATCTGTTTTTTTATTTACCATTTAAATTTGTTTTACTGGTTATGCAAATACTCTTCATAATGAAATTTATGTAATAGGGTGGCTCAAAGCTTTTCCAACTGCAATCTATATTTCATAAACATGTCTTCATCAAGTGGCTACAAACTTGTTACTCTGATTTTGAACTAATTTTGAGATAAGGAACTATTCCTCTGATTCTTCAGCACATTTACAACTCAAGATGATTTTGTGGTTTCTGATGTATTAAAATTGGGTTTTTTAAACTGGGGCTTCATAAATCAGATTTTCATGTGTGTGATTTAATATGTGAAAATCTTGAGTACCTTGTTGGAGGAAAATGATAATTCAGAAGAGAACATTGAATGATTTCTTACATGTTCAATCAAGTTATTGGGCATGTTGCTTGCAACCCATTTTATGTTATAAGATTTTTGCAATGATTTCTTAAAAAATATGATAATTTATGAATTTTTGTTGACCTAAGAAATTTTGCTTTTGGAAATGGTCCAAAGTCAGTAATGTTGAAAACCATTGAAGCCACAACAAAACAACAGGAATTCATTACATAATCTTGCTTTAACATAGCATTTCTGAAGCATTGAAAACATCTCTTTGCGTTGGTTGCTTCTTGGTTTCATCCCAACCATTCTATCCCTACCCAACCTAACCTAACAAATGACTAACAACATAGAAGTAAGACAACTATTGACTATGACAGACTGCTCAAAATCCCCTGGACCTAATAGAGATCTTACTGCTCAACTTCGCATCCTCCCCGAAAATATGATAGACCTATTCACCCTTATCCTTAATTCCTACCTCAAACTATCCCATTTCCCAACCATCTGAAAAACCTCCCGTGTTTCCATGATTCCCAAATCTGGCAAGAACCGTAGGTGCCCACAAATAATAGACTGATCAGACCTATCCTTATCCTTAGTAAAATATTTGAAAGTAGTGGTGTTACATTATTTCTAAATTTCCGGTTTTTGAAAGTTCAGAGAGGTCAATGAAAATAAGAGCCGCTTCCTTCTTATTATCTTGCCTTGTTTAATTCGTGGAAAAAAATTTAAGCATTTTTTCACAAAATGTTTTTTATTTATAATTTGTATTAACTTAAACAATTGTAAGAAAATTACTTCTTTTTCCCCTTCAAAATATTTAAAGGAAAAATTTGTAGCCATTTTAAGAAAATAGTTGTTTAAAATTGTTTCGTAATTGCCTGATTAATGCACAATTACTAAAAAAATATTCATAATTTCAAAAAATTGAACAAAATCTTATTTGAAGAGATTTGCAAAATCACTGTTTATAAACTAGAATGGGTCAATATGAACAAGTAAAACTTTTAAAAATAAAATGAGTTTATATACGTTATCCAAAATACTTTTGTTGCTTTGATTTGACAGTTTTTTTTATAATAATGCTAACTCTTGTTTCTCTACTTGCACATGTATGAAAATACTCTGAAATTATTCAAATGTGTAATAAGCAACCATTTTCAAATGAAGTGAGTACAGCAACAGTGATTTCTTTCCAGTATGAAAACATGCATCACTACAGAAACAAAATATGAGCATTGGAAGGAAAATTATTTAGTTCTGTGTTTGAAAAGCACAAGAAACATTATTTATGTGTTGCAACAGTTCGTTGAAAATAGCAGTTCTTGTTTATTCTGCACTTTGTAAGATGCATAATCATCATTTGATTGAGATGATGGCTCTGATATCCATAGAGATTTTGACAGTTCCAACAGGTATTACTGGATCTATGGCTTTCTACATCTTGCAATATAGAAGTTAGCCTACACCATTCAATGTAGAATCACTCAGCACACCTAACGTAGATGTGAAAGAGAGACTTTTTGCATTTGATGTCATTAAACCAGATGATGAGAACAATTACATTAACGACATTTTGTCCTCCCCAGAAGTAGAGAGAGACCTTTTATGCCAATGATCTTTCCTTCCTTGCTTACTACTACACCCTCAACAAATCCCTGTTACAATTTAATCTTTGGGCTTTCCAAAATTCCATTACCACCAATCCTGCTACATCTCTAGCTATCCTGTTTTCCTATAAAACCTTCCCATCACACCCACCTCCCCTAACAATAGTCGAATCTCCTATCTATTGGCAACCCTATGCAAAATACCTTGGTATCACCCTTTTCCGCGGACTCTTGTGGACCTATCACGTTCACCGAATAAAATCATCCCCTGTAAAATTGGTACCCTATAAAAATCAATAGAATCATCAACGCCGTATTTATCCCTACAAATTTATCTATCTCACTCTCCGTGAAACTGCAAACCTATTACACATACATTGGTCCAATCCTCTCCTACGCCCATCCTAGTTGACTACTTCCCAAAGAAACCACAAAAAAAACTCGCCACAACCGAAAACCGTGCTCTCCGCCTCCTCTCTATAGTTGCTCCAATGAATTACCAAAAGCAACAACAACCAACACCCTTTCCTACTTCCACGATCTTCCAAATGCTAAAATATACAAACAATGTCTTATTCCGAAACCTCATCCCTTCACCCCATCCTACGTTACCTCCACCCCACACACACACACACACACAAGGACCTCTTAGATATCCTCCAACTTCCTTCCCCTTAACCTAGGTCAGAGGACAGACTAGACGGAAAGATAAACGTACGACAAACGACCGACCTGATGACACCGAATTATGCGCTGCCGTAACAACACAATTTCATCCTCTCCTATCTTACTCTTCATCCCCCTCCCCTCCAATATCCTTCCCCTTCCCTTCCCCCGTCATCCAGCTAGGTACCTCTTACAAAATAAGCCTATATTCTCCCTCCCCCCCATCCCCTATACTTTGATCCTCGTCCCTGTACGGGGGAGAGGAGTCAATACCACAGAGAGAAAAACATCCAAACTAAATCACCTGTATGAAGAATCTCAATCATGAGATAGACATGTTCCAGGTGAGACCTCTCCGTCCGTCCTGGGGCATTGCCAAGGCCACACTTCCCTCCACTCAACTGTTTCTCCTCCGCTCTCCGTTTCACTTGCATGCTTCGACGCACTGAAGTCGCAATTCCGGGTGCGAATCGGGGAGGGATTGCTTTACGTGTCTGCCCTGCTACGCGCCCCCCGTGACATCCCATGTTCTCGCTGCAGCCCTGAGTGTTGAGAATAACAAAAACAGGGATTCGACATCACAACGCAATGTTGCCATTTCGGAATAAAAGGAACTTCATTTATGAAGTCATTGCGGACAGACTTCGTTCACACGCCCTTTTCTCTAGAGCAGTTCGATAGTCGTCTAAATTACCTTCGATGCAGACTTCGAAATATTCTGTAATTAATAGTAATAAAGTTCGTTTAGCGTCTGATTATATCAACAATTATCCACCTGGAATCACGTGAAAACTCTCCAGCCATGTCATCTCTCAGGAGTCTAGTTGCCAGCCAGGCAGTGTAACGATGTGTAACGTCACGCTCTTACGGTCCTTTAACATTGTGAAGCACGACCCATCGGACTGTCCATGCGTTCCTGTGTGTCAACATTGGAAGTACTCGGCCATTCCCCGAGCGTTTTAGTATCGCATTGATACTTAGAAACCAAGCGTTTTAGCACTGCAACTCCGAAGGCTTACATTGCAGGGGAGGGAGGGAGAGAGGGACACGAAGAGAGCGTGAGGAAGAAAGAGGGAGATGGAGGGCAGACCAATGTCTGCCGGGGTCAGCTAGTAATTACATAATTCTAACATATATATTGAAATCAATTTTGCCAAATAAAAGAAGGCAACAAACGAAAGATCAAGGGGGAGCGTCGTCCCCACGCCGCTGGC